GGAGCGCCCCAGCCGGGGGATCCGACTGGTTTCATCAATAGTGCAACAGGCGCTATGTTCAAAAGAAGTATAGATCAAGCACTTTCCATCCCCGGGATATGGGATGTATGCTGACTTGAAATAAAAAGATTTGAGTAACCAGAGAAAACCAGAAAGCTCCATCAATATCGGGATAATTAATTTTTCTACAAGCGCTAAGAAAAGCGAAGTTTTCCAGAGCTTTCTCTTTGAATTCCCCTCCATATAGGACACACTGCCAGTTTAGCTGTTGATCTTTGCGATTTCATCGAATGCAAAAATGAACCAACTCGATGGAGACCGAGCCGTGGAGCCACATTCTGAAAAGCAGATTGGTTCTATTCCTATATAAAATCTATTTAGGTTGATAAAAGGAGAAAAAGTCCTAGCCGTTGATCAATCCCTTTGTGGGATGCGGCACGCATTCTACTTCCATTCAGAATCGTAGTGGCTTATTGAATGCGATGTGGCCTATACAATGACTTGCGGGGCCAGCCGATGTACAAGTCAGTCCCAGACGAATCTGGTACCAACTGAGCGTCCTAACAAGCAAGACTTGGTTGTCCTGAGCGGTCGCCAGTTACGAGATTTGATTTCAGGACCGCGCACGTCGTAAGCTCGCCACTTGCTACCACACCACCTCCACCTCATTTAAACGGATAAGATCATGTGATATGCAATCAAATTCCAATCAAAACAATCAGTATTCACAAAGAATATTCGAAGGGTTCTGTAAGGTATCGCCATCTCACCCATCATTCCAGATCAACTTTCGGTTGATATTTACGTTGGGGCTGACACTGAACCAAGGTGGAGTCATACCCTCAGGGGGGCACCTACAATCGTCGGTCTTACAATCTGCATCTTATTATCCTGATCGCCACTGCCTTCTGCCCCTTGACGCCATGGTGGCCATCGCCCGCTGTCGCTATCTGTCATTTACCGCTCTGCTGTCCATTTTCGGCAGCCTTCCGAGCGAATTGGGCCGAAATGGACGTGAATGCATGATCCAGCTCGGGGCGTTGTGGGAAGCTCCCATGAAACCATAGGACGTTAAGGTGGAGGCGAAATCAGAAGCCCGTGATGATTCTTGTTTCCTGCCGGAGTAGAGAATACCAGGAGCGAGGTTTCAGGGATTGATATCGCGTAAGTACATACAATCGTTATCACCGAAACGACAACAACCGGTCTAAAACCGCGCCCAATTCCACGCGCAGCTGGCACGCCTCGGCTGACTTCCCAACAGAAATGCAATTGCAGTGGAATATTCCTTCTAACTGAATGCCGAAATGACTTGTGAAGTGGAATGGACGTACTTGCGGGTTCTTTCGGTAGCCCCGATTGCTCTGAAATGCTTCACTTGATTTACTTGTAAAACAAAATTCAGTAACTTTCAAAAATACAAGGCGCCAGTAACCTTGTGGAGGGGCACACCCAGAGCTTGGCGGAACGGCACAATCTTAGGTCAATGGAACGTTATTCTGTCATTTTTTTCCAGGTATTGACCAGTCATTTTGACATTTTTGAGAAGAGCTCACTTTGCACTTAACAGTGATAACAAGGCTTACA